AAAGTCCGAATGCACGCCCCAAACATCTGATGTATTGTATAGTAAATACGGATAAGAATAAATTTAATAAAACTGAATATTAATCACTCTCGAATTTTTTGGTAACCGTCATCACTTTATAAACGTCTTTATAAAATCAAAATTCGACGAAGGAATTCTTCAAATCTTCAAAACTTGTCCCGTTTTAGGGACAATGGACAAAGAATTTTTATGACTTTGTGTCGTTGGGTCTTTTCGCTCAACCCCAGATGTTCTATTTATAATTTGCCAAGCAGGTACTTACAAAATAACACTTCCAGAGTAAACAAGTTTTCAGAAATAATTATTTTATTAGAAATTATTAGAATGAAAAAAACTTGTCTTTGGTGTATTTCTAATTAAGCCGTTGTATTTTTTGCTCTAAATATAATCAAGCATTATGAAGGCCACTTTTTAAAGAATACGACGACCCACATGTAATTGATCTTATAATCTATAAAAAATGACGAAGAAGGGACAGCCTTTTGACGTCATTAATTGACGTCAGAAGTAACTCATAAAAATCTCGTCATTTTCACGTGATTTTTTGGTCGAATGACGTCGCCGACGAGTTATGACCAAAAATTGACGTGAATTAAACGACAAGTTGCTGCTTGGGTTCCTTGCATAATTGCTTGATCTTATTCATGATAGCATGGATATGATTAGTATTTAGCGGCTCCGGTGTGGAGATCTGCGAATTATTATCTCTAGAGCCACTATCAGAACACTTCACACAAAGCCATGAGGAATTACCATCAGTAAATCTTTGGAAATCAAACTTTGCAGCTTTGGCACACAATTTAAACACTTTGTACATAGACAGAGTGTTGGTTACCCCTTTTTCCAATTTGTTTTCAGCCTCTCGATTCCATTTGTAATCCGAATAATACTGTCGCTATCGACTGTTAGTTATAAATAAATAGATTTCGTCCCTGTAAATTTCTACATGGCATAACCCGCGCAATCCAGACACACTTAACCCACTTCATCCACACATATCTCACCGCTATCTGTTGATGCAAATTGTTAAATGCGGCGCTTTCATATTAATAACAGCGACTTTGACATAAAGCACTGCCACAACATGACCGTTCGCGTTTAATAAAGCCAGCGCGTTTTCCGAACATGTCACACATTCCATTCGAAATACGACGTCATAACACGAACTTATGAGGGATTACTTTTCTTCGAGGCAATTATTCGCATTTTCTGTGAATTTCTAGTGGGAATTTATACCCTTGGAGGTTAGAGAAGTTGTACGTCTTTGACCTCACCCTCGAAATGTGATAACGCCCTCACGCTGATCCGATTACGAGGACTGCAATTACCTATTTCAATGGGAATGCTTGATTATTGCTATTATTTTCGTGCTAAATGAATTTATGGCTGTGCGATAACCTTTTCGTTAGAAATGGAATGGAATTTGCCGGATATCCGTGTAATGTAATGTATTACAGAAAAATGGAGAAACGGGAACGGCGTGGGTGACGGTCAGAAACAAAAAAACTTTGCAAGGGTCGGAGGCTCGGAGGGACGCAAAACTCGGTGGGCTGGGGCTTAATAATATGAAAATTATGCTGAGCCAAATTGTCGGCGATGGCTTTTATTATGTACTTGTGCAGGATTTAAAGTGGGATAAATAAAGTTTCTGTGGTGGAATGTAAGTTAAAACAGGGCTGTGGAAACTACACCTAAACTTTATTTTCTCAGATAACCAAGTAGGTACTCACAATTTAATCTACTCTCCGGTAAAAACTGCACACTATTAGAGAAAATTTAATATAAACAGAATTATTACGACGATCAAGTTAGAACTGTTAGAATCTCTTGGGGAATTAGAAATTGGTACTTCATCGTGAAGGCTATGGCTCAAAAATGTCTGTAATGTTTTGATAAAGTATCTTTTTTCAACGAAGACGAAAACACACTTGTTTATATTTGGTCTGGAGCGCAGTTTGTCTTAGGAAACGAACAGTGAGTTGAGAAGTGATTAATTATAATATCAAGAATTTCGGAAAAGATGTTTCGACGGTAAAATATCAGTATCAAGTTTTCCGTAAATTTTCTTAAAAAATGCTCACTGCATCTAAATTGGAGTAATTTGCTTAGAGTTGTTTGCAACAAATTCCTAGCTCTTGACTTCGCCCTCTTTTAAGTATTCCCACGAATAATCTAGGGGTTTGAGGTCGGAAGATCCGCCGTTCCATCCAACCACACCATTTTAATTAAATAAACTGCTTACAATTCGTACGTTATGTGGTGGTACACCATCGTGTTAGAAAATTTAGGACTTTCATAACTGATTTGTACGAGTACATCCACTGATATGGTTTATTTTTTTATACAAATCACTAGTGAAAATTTATTTATTTTATCGTTAATTGTTACTATGAAAACGGCTTTCATCTAACCACAAAATATTACTTATTAAGCCATTTCGCGTGCTTGTGTGAGCTAAGCTATAAAACTTAATCTTGTTCCAAAATCACTCGGCACTAAAGCTTGATGTAAATGAATTTTATTACCATGAAATTTGGCCGTTTTTAAAATTCCTTGAATCAAATGTTTAAACATATTTGTTAGTTCTTTGTTAACTTTGGAATTTGTCCTGCTCTTCGTCGCTTCTCATATTTTTTTGACTCTTCCATACATAAAAAAATAATATTTTTTTAATTACATTTACAAATTTTTGCTTTTCCTTCATTTCACCCCATTACCATTTACATTTTAAAGCTTAAGTGATAATAATTCAGATATTAGAGTGGAAAAATTAGCCGGTATGGCACAATTTAGAAGTTAAGAAAATTTGTAAATCGAATATACCACACTATGGCTAGTTTCCCTAGAAATAAAAAAATAACAGCGATGTTTGATATTACTTGAACACGAACTCGGTAAGTAATCAATAGTAACTTTTACTAATAATTGACTAGATTTTTTGTTTCGGAGTGAATATATGAATATTTTATTGTACTAGAATCTCCAGCCACCGTGACATTTAAGTGCAATAATGTCAACTCCAGCATTTGCCAATAAAGTCGCCGACGTCCTTCTGAAAGCATACCCTGTGTAAGACTTTGGATTTTAAAGTATATATTTGTCCTATAGTATTCATCAATAATTTTCTTCAACGAATCGAGTACAATTTTTTTTTAGACTTCGAAAATCCGTACTCCAACAAATCATTAAAAGCAACGTTAATATCATATGAGTTTGCAATACTTTGAACGGAATAATATATCTTTGGATAAAATTAGATTTCAAATTCTCTCATCGAGTCTAATTTCAGTGATATTTTATTTACAACCTGACTGCGCTCTAGTAAGTGTGTTTCATATATTAATGCAACTTTCAACAATTGAGTATAATGGGCCAAAAGACGATCATTAAAACGGATGCATTTTGCATGAACTGCACTAAATATTTGTTAAAACTTTGATTAAGGAATTTAATTCATATGATTTAAAAATTTCATTCAGAATTTCTAATTCAGTTGGATTATTGCCGTTAATATTTAAATCCTCGCATTATTACACATTTATTTAAATTTACTGTATACTACATCAAGAACATCGCTTAACTTATCACGAAACTTGTTAGAATCACCTGTAGGTGTACGATAAATGTATAAAACACAAGACTGTTTCTTGTAGATAGCTGCAAATAATTCAAAAGTGTGTTCCTCTGAGAGTTACATAATCTGATCGAATTCACAACAGCTTGAGTTATATCATGTCTAACAAAAACAGCAAAACCTCTGTACATTAAGCGTTGGCGTACCTTTTTTTGTGTAATTATGAATTAATTAAGTTAATAGCGTTTCTATTTAACACAGTGGGCCATTTAAACCAGTATAATATAACGGAATATTTTTATCACTAAATCCGCCAGCGTGATCCAAGAAAGTAAAAAATATGAACGAGTTAAGGGACCGCATCTCATACAAAAGTACAAATATGGGGAGACTTTTTCCAGCAATTTTACGTTAAAACCGACACAAAAATGACATAAGAATTGTTAGTTACATTTTTTAGCCGTATTATTATTTTGAATTAAACGTTGTGTGTAGCATCGAAGTAGTGTTTATCTTCCACGAATAAATCCATCAGGTTATGGGTCCAGAGCAAAAAGCAGCAGAGAGGTAAATTGTTTTATGTAGCAAGTCATGAAGTGAATGAAGCAGAAAAATGGTACCGACGTTATGGACATTTAAATGAACATGACCTAAACAAGGTTTTTGCTAAAGATATGGTGCTGGAAGTCATACATAAAAAATCAGACTGGATATAAAATTAAGGTTCTTCGCACTAACAATGGTCTAGAGTATTGTGGAGTTGAGTTTACACAATTCGAAGCTGCTGGAGTCAGGAAACAACGAATACAACATAATGGAACAGCTGAAAGAATGAATCGTACTTTGGTAGAGATGGCCCGATGTTCGCTTCTGGAAGCAAAATTACCAACTAAATTTTGGGCTGAAGCCATTGCTACAGCAGCCCACATCAGAAACCGATCTCTAACAAGATCGTTGAGCGACATAACTCGATATGAAGCTCGATTTGGTAACAAACCCGATGTTTCACATTTTAAAACATTTGTCCAGAACGAGACAAATTCGATCAGAAAGCTCTTGAATGCTTCTTTGTGGGGTACTCAAAAGAGTCTAAAGCTTATCATCTATGGGATTCGTAAAGAAGATTGTGATAAGTCAAGATGTTAGATCTTTAGAAACTGAACAACCCCGAGAAGAACAAGTCACACCACAAGCCACCGAATTTACAACTTTTGATCTCTTGGCAAACGAGTCAACACTAGAAGATCACGGAGCCGTTGAAACTGAACCTGCCCAACAGATACAATCCAATTATTGGACAATATTAACTTAAATAGCAGCAAAATAAAATAAAATAAACAACGTAAAATAAAAATGTAAATAAGCTCATATTCGTTCCCAAACTAAATTATTACCATACCCACAATTAGAAGCTATCCTTATAAACTAAATAAACGAACACATGACAGTTTACTTGGGAGAAAAAAGATATCATCATACAGTTTATCAGCATTACTGCACATATGAACTAACGGTGCCTTTCTTAGCAAATTCGTTCTAGAAATTGATTGATGAAAACTGGCCATGTAGCGAGACGCAACACGTGGTACATGAAAATTGACTCTTTCCAACAATTCAGGACAATCTATCTTGCCACTTATCAATTTGGATATGAAACGAGCACTATGCTCCTCACGTCGATTCTTTAAACTAACAAATCCATGTTTCTGAAGGAGGTAATTGTAGTCTATATTTCTTTGAGGATAAAATCCATCAATCTTATACGAAAGATACTTCAAGAAGCGACGCTGTACCTTTTCAACAGCAAGATTATGTATCACATAGTAAGGATACCAAACAACAGAGGCGTATTCCATCTTGCTTACCACATACGCAAAATACAGACTTTTTAATAGAAGAGGATCTTGAAAAGTTTTTGATACCCGAAATATAAAGCCAAGCATTTTAGATGCTGAGGTGGATATGTTACTGATGTGCTCCACAAATGAAAGGCGCGAATCAAAAAGAACACCAAGATCCTTTACCTCATTCTTCTTGCAAAGAATCCGACCGTTGATGGTATAGTCTGATTTTACCACATTTACTTTCCTACTGAATGTCATTACGTAACACTTATCTGCATTTAATAACAACTCGGACTTGTTGCACCAATCTACTAATGTATCAAGGTTCCTTTGGAAGGTTTTAACATCATCACTGTTTGAAATGGGACAATATAACTTCAAATCGTCAGCGTATGCCAAAACTTTACAGTTAAGTGAAAGAAGCAAATCATCAATGAAAAGAACGAACAGAAGAGGGCCAAGATTGGAGCCTTGAGGAACACCGGATGTACTTACAAAATTGAAAGAATGGTAACCGTTATACGTCACGGAGTTAGACCTACCACTTAAGTAGGACTCCAAGAGTTTCAAGAAGCTAGGAGCAAATCCAAAAGAACTTAATTTATGTAGTAAGATGGTGTGATTTATGAAGTCAAATGCACTTGAAAAATCTGTATAGATAACATCCACTTGTCCGTTGTTATCTAATTGTTCAGAGAGAAATTGTGTCAAAATACACAAATTACTTAGTAACTGTTGATCGACCAGGCCAGAATCCATGTTGGAACGCAGATACATGACTTTGGACATTAACAAAGATAGTTTTATACAACACTATTTCAGAAAGTTTAGCAAAGTTTGATAGTATTGCAATCGGTCTGTAGTTTTTTGGATTAGTAGAATCTCCTTTTTTGAATACAGGTGTGATTCGTGCTCTTTTCCATCTATCAGGAAATGTGGATGACATTATTACTAAGTTAATTACAATTGATAGAGGCTTTGCAAGAATATATCTGGCGTCACGTATTAAAACACTTGGTATTTGGTCGTCACCAGCGGTCATTTTATTTGAGAAGGTTGACATAATATCAATTAGTTGCTCTTCAGTCACCGACGGTATAGCAAACGAGAGCTTATTTGATGTAACATCAGATATTCCAATAATGGTTTTTGGCCGAAAGACATCAGAAAATCTTTCCGCAAACGCGTTGACAATTTCTTGTGGATCTTCAAATTGTTTATCTTCATAAACTAATCTTCCAGGTATACGCGTCGTACCTTTTTGTAAGTGAACGTATTTCCAGAAGTCTTTAGGATTATTCTTCATAGATTCTTCAATTTGGTTTAAATACTCACGACATACTGTTGCTGAGATTGGAGAAAACAGGGCAATAGAAGTTAAGAGGCGGCGTGGACGCCCACAGTTAGTCAGAACTGGCGACCACGCAAAGTAAATCATGCACAGTATGTAAAACCTGATGAAGAGGATGGAGTACGTAGGGAAGAAGAAGATGATGAAGAACACAGGGATGAAACTGACGAAGAACACTAGAAACAAACCTTGTAGTTGACGAATTAATAAGTCCAACTTGGGAAAAAGCAGTGACCGGTCCTTACGCTCAAGAATGGAAGGAAGCCATGATAGCTGAATTTGAATCACTCCAAGGAAGTGGTGAGTGGGTGTTAGTCAAGCGTTCTAAAAACCAACACGTGGGTGCAGATGAGTTTTGAGAACAAAATTCAGAGCAGATGGAAGCGTAGAACGAAGAAAAGAACGACTAGTTGCAAAAAGTCACAGTCAACGACCACGTGTAGATTTTCAAGAAACTTTTTTCTCCAGTTGCAATACAAAGCTCTATACTTACGTATTCTGATCGCACTTGCTGCAGAATTTGATTTAAATTTGTACCAGCTCGACGTGACGATGGCTTACATAAATGGAGATCTAGAAGAAGAAGTTTATATGGAACAAGTTGTTGAAGTACGACTGCATTTCCATGCCCAATTAACGAAAAACAATAATTGGTGACCCTTGATGAAAGAACACAGTGTTAATACCGCGCCGCGTCCCGTCGTAAGTACCACGTGTATCTATCAATGCAAGACTTTCTGAAGCCGAGCTCCAGCGACTAAGGAAAGAGCTAGACAAAGCGAAAGCGGCTTTGGAAAAGTCGAAGAACGAATACCACGAGGTCGACGCGGTGAAATCGACCACCATGAAGGTACCACCATTCTGGCAGAAGACGGGACCATATTACAGACCGTTTCGGACATCCTGGCCAACCCTGCTGCAGAACACAATTACGGAATGATCAAAAACAAGATCATCGCAGAATTTACGCATTCACAGGAGAAACAGATTAAAAAACTAATTAATGAACCGGAGCTGGACGACAAAAAGCCATCCCAACTGCTCAGGGAGATGAAGACCTTGGCAGCACGGCAAATTACAGACGATGTATTGAAAACATTATGGCTGCAAAGACTGGCGAACATCGCCGATAAACTGCAAGAAGTCCACGTGAGTAAGGCCATGATGACGAGCTCGAATATTGCCGCCATTACCACGAAGACGCGTTCGCGAACGCCAGACAACGACGACATCTGCAGCTCAAGCGCCGAACCGTCCTCCGAATGCAAACCCCAGCTGGTGCTATTACCATAACAACTTTGGGAACAAAGCAAAGAAATGCCGATTTCCAACCGGCGGGAAACTAGAACCGCCGTCGACACTTGAACCAGTGCACGACGGTACTACCATCTCACAGCAGCGTCTTTTTACCTCGGACCCCAGAAGCAGCATTCGCTGTTTAATGGACACTGGAGCGGAATTATCCGTCCTGCCCAAAGCATTTGCAGGTAAGCAACAGAATTTGCGCCCAACTTAAACAATGCTTTTCGCAGCCAACAATACCCCGATCCAAACCTTCGTCGAAAAACTCATGCTATTAGATCTCCACCTGAGGCAACCGTACAAATGGATATTCGTAATCGCTGACGTAGCGAAACTTATCACTGGCGCGGATTTCCTAAAGTACCACAATCTTTTGTCCGGCTTACGTGATCGTAGACTGACAGACGCGACGACGCGCCTATCAACCCCAGGACGCCTGGTTCACTGTAGCCTATCCCAGATCTGGACGGTAGCGAAGACAACGCCATACACCACATATTCACAGAAGGCCCCCCGATCGCAGAGGCTCTACGAAGACTCGCCCCAGACAAGCTCAAGGCAGCGAAGCTCGAATTCCAATGGAGCAAGTTTGGTGTTGCCTCTCAAAAAGCCCTTGGGCCAGCCCGTTACATTTGGTCAAGAAGAAGCACCTAGGAGAGTGGCGCCCATGCGGTGACTATCAACGCCTCAATAATGTGACCACCTTCCCCGTCGCGGAAGAAGACAACCCGAAAACTGCGGTTTGTACACCTTTTGGACTGTTCGAATTAACGGTCATGACCTTTGGACTACATAATGCCGCGCAGACGTTTCAAAGACATTTAAACTCAATGATAGGTGATTTAGACTTTTTTTTTTCATATATTGATGACATTATGGTTTTTTCCCGCGATATAAGTGAACACCGTGAATATTTAGAAACACTTTTCGAGAGACTTAGAGGCTTTTTAATTTTCGTCTAAATCCTGCAAAGTGCGTGTTCGGGGCACCTAAGGTAGAGTACCTCGGTCACACCATTTCACCCGAAGGACTCCAGCTGCTACAATATAAGGTCGACGCTATATTAAACTTCCCAAAACCCGTCACAGTTAAGGAGCTAAGATGGTTTTTGGGAATGATTAACTTTTACAGGCGATTCATCAAAAATGCCGTCTAGTTACAATCACCCCTACACCAGTACTTGCGTAATTCGCCCAAGAATGACCAAACACCCATCGTGTGGTCCCCAGAAGCGGAAACCGCATTCGAGAGATCGAAAGAGGAACTCGCGAATGCCGCATTATTGGCCCACCCATTATGGCTCACCAGAGATGCATCAGATACGGCGATAGGAGGAGTCTTAGAGCAGCAAACTGGAGGAGCCTGGAGACCGCTTGTTTTTTTTTAAAAAAAAAACAACAACGGTTTAGTTTATCAGAAGACAGAAGATCCACTCATCGGATTTGATGATTCTAATTTGGGGGCTAATTTGGACGATCGCTTTTCTTACACTGGATTCGTATTGGGAATCAAAGAAGCAGAAAACTGTAGCCTTGTCGAGTACCGCGACGGAATACCTGGCTTTGGGCGAGGTTAACAAAAGAAATGGTCTACCTTGGTAATTTACTGCGAACCAACCGTCTTATTCTGTAACAACTAGGGAGGATAGAAGTTAACGAAAAATCCTGTTTTCCACTGTCGAACAAAGCACATCGATATCCGTCACCATTACATCCGCGAAATTTTCAGAAAAGGGGAGATCGATGTGAAATATATTCCGACAGACGACATGGTTGCCGATGTCCTCACCAAAGGTCTTTATCGGCCCAAGCATGAGAAGTTCAGGAGGCATCTTGGAATTTCGGAAGTCACCACGCATTGAGAGGAGGTCTTGAAAATACATCAACAATCTGTGTAATTACATTTTTTATTCTTATTATTATTGTTGCATAAAACGTTGTGTGTAGCATCGAAGTAGTGTTTATCTTCCACGAGTAAATCCATCACATATCACAATATTATAAATTATTACATACTTAGCTGGTACAAAAGTCATAACGAAAGTAAAATATACGGTCTCGAAAGATTGGGTGAAATAAAATAACAATTCTTGTCCCTTTAACAGTCCGAACGCGTCTTGAAAACCCCGCCAGATGGTCGGCAACACTAGTCTAGACAGATGACGTAATGAAATGTTATTTGAAATAGACAAGTGAAAGCTAATGTTTGCATGAATAAATGCACTTACCTACAGCAGCCGGTTTTATCTTTTTATTTTATCATGAGTTTAATTTAAAAAGCTGTCTGATTTGGAATCGATGAACAAGAGTGATACAAATTTAAATAACGCAACAACTGAAAATGTCATAATTATTCTGACAGATCACATAATAATTAAAACTGTAGAAGTATCCACCATCACGAAGAGTGGCAAATCTGCAACATTTTTAATTTCACAGATCACTGAGTGTATGAAACATTTGTGTAAGCTCTGTATTTCGGGATCAAGACTTTCACGGCCAAATAACCGTAAAACACTTTCCACATTGCGTACATTTTCACTGATGCTCTGTTGCACCTCATGGTGAGAAGGAAACACACCGAATGCAGCATTAGTGTTTGAGTATTCTCGTTATGATGAGAATGACCTGTTTCCGAAGTTTGTTGTTGGACTACTTTACAGGGTGATTTGAGAAGGGTTTTGACGGGCGTTCTATTTTTTTTTTTGATAATTTTCGCCACATGTTCGGTGACTTTATGAATGTATGGAAGGAAAGTCGTGATTTAGTTCGGGTTGAAAGCCCGTGCCTCTTTACTCCATATCACGAGCCTCCACTGAAAGCATTATTGAACGTGCTTATCTTGCTCTTCAAAATTACTTTCTCCACGCTACTAATGCTAGCAAGTTAGTTTCGTCAACTTGAGACGGGCCTTTTCGTTACTTTACCTGCACGCAAATGTTACACTTAGTTATGTTATTAGTTGCGACAGAATCTTCCGGGAACAGAACATTCTTGAGTTATCGAATGATATATATGTAAATTTGTGGTGACTACATACCATTCTTATCAAACATTACATAGTAGATGTCTTTTAAAAATGCTCTCTACAGACACTCATTGTGCTTCAGAAGAGAAGGAAATCCTGTGTAAATAACTATTGACAGGCCACCTCGTCAGCTTTAGCGTCTATTTTAAATTTCAATTTGCTTCGTCCGCGTTTAAACAATACTCGAAACGGATTCCTCGTATTTACATTATTTGTGTTGATTACTCTTAATAGCACTTCGAGGCTCTCATCAGAACAGAGGTTTTTTAGGTGAGACTTAGGCGGAGCAGGAACATTGTCCCTAATGCCAAATTATTCCCGTTTATTAATTAAGATTCTAAACTGACTGGTTTACGGTGTCGAATACCTTATTTAAATCATAGTAGAATTTGCCTGTACAATACTTACGACTTTCGCAAGCGTTTTGTCTCATAAATAACTTTTAGGGCGAACGCAGTTGACATCGATACCCTGAACCTGTATGCGTGCTGATGATATCCTACTTCTCCGCAAAACTAATTATTCCATATTTTATAGCTATTAATTAAAATTTGCCTTTAAAGTCTTAATAATCATGTGTTTCTACAAAAATCACCTGTTTTGTTCAAAACTAACGTTTCAACATTTTTTCAACATAGTTGCCAGCTTGTTAGGGGCTGAATTTTTTTAAACAACGAAAATTACTGTACTTGTGCATTATTTTATGGACAATAGACATGCTATACACTACGAAAATTCATCAGGGCCATGATACCCTT